GCATTCCTGGGAGTCCTTCCTCCGGACGTGGATCGGGGGGGGGAGCCTGCGGGGGTGGGGGCAGCGTTTAAAAAACCCCCTCCCGGCCCCGGACCGTCCACTTTTGAATGACCGCAGGCAAACTCGGAACCCGCCCGCCTCCGCTCCGGTCCTCCGCTGCGCGCTCGCCCTCTCGCGCTCTCGCTCTCTGGCTCGCTTCTCTCGCTCGCTCTCGCTCCTTTTTTTGCCTTTTTTCTCTCGCTCGCTTTCCGGACCTTCTCCGGGAGCCCCGGGGATCTAAAAATCGCCACCAGGAGCCCCCCCATCCCTTTTGGCGGATGCTGGAGTCTGGTCTCGGGATAGGAGTGACCGCTTGCTGGTAACACGTCCGGACCGCCCCCCCCAAGGTTTTGCCTCTGGATTCCGGTGGGCAGCCACCGCTGCAGCCAGCCGAGGGGAGGCAAAGAAAGAAAGAAAGAAAGAAAGAAGGAAAAGAAGCCGGTTGTAAGGTGAGCGCCCTTTCCTCTCTCCTCCTTCCCTCGCTCCAGCCGGAGCTGGTCAGTTTCAGCCCTCGGGGGCTTGGTCAATTTCACTGCGCCTTGCAAGGCCGGCCCGCCCGCCCGCCAGCCCGGGAGGGTTGGTCCGCTTCAGCCGCCCGCCACTTCTCCAAGCCGGCCTCCCGTTCCTCCGAGGAGCACCTTCCGTAGGGCGCCATGAATAGCAACAGTTACTACGACCAGACCCCCCCTCAACCCTATTACCAGGGCGAGGAGCAAGAAGAGATGCCGGCCACCGAGAAGGACCTGGCCGAGGACGCGCCCTGGAAGAAGATCCAGCAGAACACCTTCACCCGCTGGTGCAACGAGCACCTCAAGTGCGTCAACAAGCGGATCGGGGACCTCCAGAAGGACCTCAGCGACGGCCTCAAGCTGATCGGCCTCCTGGAGGTGCTGAGCCAGAAGAAAATGTACCGCAAGTACCACGCGCGCCCCAACTTCAGGCAGATGAAGCTGGAGAACGTCTCGGTGGCGCTCGAGTTCCTGGACCGCGAGCACATCAAGC